GAAAGATGGTACATTCGGATGGATAAACAACTGAGCAGAGATCGGCTCTATGCATGCTTTGGACCAGAGCTGACGATTGTCACCCTCCTGAAATAGATTTAAAAATGATTTTGCGGGAAATGGACTAGATAGATAGTAGCAGGCACAGATGGCTCCTACGGCATCAGTTGACGTTATGGTGACATGTCGAAAGTCGTGTTACTGAGCCATGTGCTCACCGCTTCGATCAGGAGCTCTAGTAGAGGCGAGGAGTCGTCTTTGCGCTCTTTTTATGCATCCCTCGTGAATCCGTTTCAGGAAGCGAGACAAGGTCCGAAACAGTATACTCGATGCTGATGAACTGGACAGTTTTGCAAGAGCTTAGCTGGACGGCCAGGATTTGTGCCTCACGCATACTTATTGCCTCTCACCACGGGTCGGGCTTTGACATTTTTGTCGAGAGCTCTTACGCCCGGATGCAATCGACTCTTGGGAGTGTCCTGACTTTCCAGCAATACGGCTTCAGGGTCGTCGGTCTCTTCTTGTCGAGCGCCCTCGCCTCTCTCTCTGCCGATCATGCTGCCGATTCAAGCTTGATAGGAAATGCCTCATGTGCCGCACCAGCTTGTTCTGGGGACCCAGTGTGCGTTCTCGCTCCGCCAATACCTGTTCGGCGAGATCAGCAGCCTGTTTCACGTTACCTTCTCGCTTGTAAATATAAGCAACTTCAGTCATGCATGCAAGTGTCTGAGGATGTGAATCACCCAGTGAATGCCGACAGCGGCTTAGCACTTCTTTGCTAATATCATCCGCCTGCGCCCATCGTTTGGACTTTCTGTATGTCGAAGCGAGACTGGACATGGTTGACAGCGTGGAATAGTTGTATTTCCCATGGATGCGTTCTTTGATCTTGAGCGTCTCCCGATCTAGCTCTTCTGCCTTATCATATCTGCCCTGATTGCGATAGGTAGCTGCAAGGTTTGTCCTCGCTGTCAAGGTATGGGGGTCGTCTTTCCCTAAAATGCTGGTTCGCAATGCCAGGACGTCATTTTCAATTTGTTCGGCTTCCTCCCATCGCTCTTGCTTCCGCCACGTTGAGCCAACATTGGCCATGCTCCGAAGAGTGTCAGGATGATGCAGCCCGAGGACTCGCTTTCTCCGATTTAATACGTCCAATGCGAGCGTTTCCGCCGCCGCAAGACGATTCGAATAGCGATATGTCGAAGCGAGACGTGCCATTGATGAGAGAAGGACTGGATCGTCCTCTCCCATGACTAAACTCTGTCCCTCGACGACACGATGGAGGAGTTCCTCTGCCTTTTCTGGCGAGCCTATGCTTTTGTAAGACGCGGCCAAGTTAGCCATACTGCTCAAGGTGTCTGGGTGATTATCGCCGAGAATGCTCTGTCTTGCCCTCATAACCCTCCGATCCAGATTGAGGGCTTCTTTCCACTCGTGCTGCCTTCGCTTTACCGAAGCGATGTTGGAAAAAGCTGTGAGTACGAGAGGATGATCAGGAGGCAATGTTGCAGTATATCCCCAGAGTGCTTTTTGACCATACTCCAACGATTTATCCAGCTGACTCCAACGTTCCAGAGCCACTGATAAGTCCATGTAAGCTTGTAGAAGGCTGTGATGAAAAGGTTCGAGTGTTTGTTCCCTGTGTTCGACGACAAGTCTGATCTTTGTGGTCGCGTCACGGTATTTGCCCTCGAGAAACAGACATTGCCCCACCAACGATTCAAGCTCAAAGCGGTTCTCCATATGAGCAATGTGAGGCGACTGTAGAAGTCGAGATGCGTGCGGAAGATACAGTGACCAAGTAGATCTATTGCTATGGTCGGGTTTAGGAAAGGTCTCAAGCATGCGACGGAGCGCCGCCCGAGGTGCGCATGTCTGTAAGGCTGACTCATTGTGCAGCCAACTACGACACGCCAGGTGGACGAGGCTGTGCATATCGTAGGTGGTGCTGTTTCCGGGACCCGAATCTCTTCGTGACAAGAAGCAGTATCGAATTAGAAGACCTCTTGCATCTATTTCCTCCTTCCGAGAATCGCCTTGTAGAAAGAGACATTCGGGAATAATCTTTGAATCGATGCATGCAATCATGGACAGGTATCGTCGGGCCAAGGGGCTTCGATGTGCAATACTGTCAAAGGTGATCCTCCAAGTTGAAATGATTGAGTTTTTTGCTCCCGGTGCCCGTACTTCGTCCTCGAAATCTTCATCCAGGAGCTCAAAAACAGTTTCCTCCTTGTCGTCTAACAAACTTACATAGTCTGAAACGCCAATTCTGTTGAGGTTGATGTATGCAGTAGCTTGCACAATCGCAAGAGGAAGATGATTCAGACGATCAACCAAAGCACAGGCGACGGTTCTGTCCAGAGTTGCAGGCGGAGGGTCAAGCATGGTCTGTAGTAGATTGAGAGCGACCTCCTGATCCAGGCACGGGATTTCAATAGTGTGGCTGCGACTGAAATTGAGTGCCACTTTTCTATCACGCGTGGTGATGAGGGTGCAGCCGTGAGGGCTTCGTGGAACAAAGGAGCTGAGTGATTGAGAGCGTGCAGTGCCATCATCGCCGAAAAATAGTCCGAAGTCATCCACATTATCAATGATCAAGAGCCAACGGCCAAAGCTCTCTAGACTCAGATGTTGCTTGACCAAATGCTTGAGCTCGGTCTGCAATTCTGCCATTGAAGATATCTGTAATTGGCGACCGATTTCCGCATAGCCATTGTCAAAGGTGGTGGTGTCTGACGCCTGAACCCAGAAGATAGAAACGTCCGGCGACTTCTCTCTAAGTGAATAGGCAAACTCAAGGGCAAGATTGCTTTTGCCGACACCGCCCAGCCCAAGTAAGGAAATGCATGAGCAATCGGGGTTGTTGTACTTGGCTTCCAAGGCGGCAAGCTCGCTGGTTCTGCCTGCAAAACCGGGCTTTCGAACCAGTGGAACACACCAAACCGCCTGTTGGCGTGCATGATATTCAGACGATGGAGCTTCGGATGACGGTACCACGGATGCCTGCGAAGCCATTCCAGTGGTTGGCGAGCTGCGAAGGGACCATTGGTCGTAGTGGTGGCCCGGATATTCGGTGGGTTGCTCCGGCCAAAAACTCTCCAGGAAAGCTCTTGCGCAGCAGGCGGCAGTCGCAGACGCATAATGGTGCCAACCGTCGTTCTTGTGGCTATCAGCGTAATCGGCAACACCCTTGATCACGAGAAATGGGAAATGGTCGATCAAGCCTGCGCCTTCCATCTCGAAAGCAACAACACCGTACTTTTGTGCAATGGCATCACGATGAATACCTGACTTCATGACTCGGTCTCCTGAGGCTATAGTGCCTATATGAACAGAGGGCACTCTTCTTTTGTCGGAAGATAGGACTGGAGCGGGGCGGTCGACCAAGTGCCAGTCTTCGCAGCCAAGTCTCGAGCACGGCACATTGAACGCCGCCGAACAAACGACAGAGTCTGCGCCAGTGTTACAAACATTGCAATAGGTATTTCGGTGCTTGTGCAGATACCCTGGTTCGAAGAGGCGGTCGAATTCGGTGCCAGGATATCTGACCTTTGGACGTCGGGCTTGGAGGTCACACAGTAGAGAATCCAGTCTCTTCTGCAAGAGTTCTCGATGATACTCCGTTTCCAACTGGCTAAGAGCCGTGCGAAGTTCTAGCGGGGCGCTCATTGTTGATGGCTTCGGCTCGAATGCTTCTGGGTATTGTCTGCCGTAATCGTACTGCAAAGGCGACAGACTGATCACAACATCACCGAGACGGACGTCTCCTGAGCCATCGGGCCCACCAGGAACACCGCCACAGATGCCGACTAGTAAAGCAAGTTGAATGTTGGGAAAGCTGGCACGGAGATACGCCGCTACGCCTGCTGCTTTCACTTTTCCATCACCATGCAGATGCGCCACTACAATCGGGCGGTTTCCAATGAAGCAGATGGTGGATGCGATCCTATCGCGGGGTGTCCTGGTGAACTGTCTCCCATCACCTCGCGGTCGGTCAAAGACGGCAAGAACTTCATCCGCCTCTTTTGGCAAAGCACATATTATGGCGATCTTGAACTCCTGTCGCTCGTCGAATTGGGGTGGAGATGGCCACAGCGCATCTTGAGTGTTGAAGGAGGACGTTTGAGAGTGGGAATAATGTTGCCCGGGCTGCCATTGGGCTGGTTCAGAGGTCCGTGAACTGTGAGATCGACTGCTTTCAGGTGGGCGCTTTCGCGTCAGTACGGTGGTTGTAGGATCAAAGACGTGGAGTATGAGTGAATGCACCTTGGACCAGACGTCTGACTGGAAGGAAACCCATAGCCATTCCCGTTATGGCGGCCGTTTGACGATCCTCTCTGGGACCCGTAGCTCTCTTGTCTGTGAAAGTGGGTTGCTCGCGGAAGCATCGCGCCGGGACAACATTTCCGGAGGCTCTCCTACGCAGTTGCTGACCGAGCTTCGTGAGCAGATGACGCTCTGCAACAGTGTCTGAATCTCTCATGATGCGAGTAAGGCTCGCAAAGGGCGCAGAATAGCCTGAAGTCCATCTTAACTGCATGTGCACGATTTCATGCGGGGGGCCCAACCAACTAGAGCGACGACTTAGTCAGCAAATCTTCCAGGCAACAGTGGGTGAACAGCAGGGCACCCCAGGGCACCAAGGGAATATTAGTTGGTGCCCTGGAAAATCTACAGGACTATACATTAGCCCAATCCTGAGGATCCTGTCTCATCAGGATCATGTTACGCAACGACGAGTGAGTTCAAACTATTTGTCCGACCTAGGTGTTTCTAGCTGTACAACTCCAAGAAATCAACACTCGCATTCTTCTCTATCATGACGGTGCGGACATGGGCCTCACTCCGCGGCTTGATTTGTACCTTGAACGGCCTTGGAAACATGGCGGTTCCGAACATGTAATCGTGCGTATCGATGGGAATTGGCTGCTTGGTTAATGTCTTGAGAGAACTCGAAGGCCCAGAGCAACTTTGCACAAATGCACCACATGCTCCGTTCAGCAAGATGGATTCCCGATTCCCGGGCACATCCGTCTCCCGGCGCCGTAGCCGAAGTGGTCTCTGGGGCTCCCAGTCATGACTAATATAATACCGGCACAGTCGTTGGCCAATCGGATATAGCCAATATAGCGATCTAGGTTGAAGTCGTCTTCGTTCTTAAACAGGTTCTCGTCATGGTGCATGGCCCAAGAGGCGATTTGGATAATGGCGCCTTTGGGAATAAACATGTTTTCATACCAATCATCTATCTCGAGTTGGTCAGATCGTGTCCGGTGAGTGACAGACAGCTTGCTTCACTTACCTTCTTTCAGGGCGTGAGGAAGGGCGGTTGGCGATCTGCACGACAATTGAGTCAAATGGTCGGTCTCATGGTCACATACGTGGAGCAATTGGAACTCACGTTGGCTGCCAGTGCATTCCCTCCTTGACAATGGCGTTCACATATGGCATTTTCTGGAAATCTGTCCACTTGGGTGATCTCTCGGTACCACACACAGCATCGACTTCTTTACGTCCTTTCTCCTGAACCTCGGGGTGAAGTGCAAAGGCCAGAATCAGAGTGCAGATCTGGGACGCAGTGGTATCTGCCGAGCCTTCCATCACTTCACCCATCAGCAAGTTGAACCCTCGTTGGGTGAATGGGAAACCCTTTCTCTCATATTCGTCGAGAAGGTGCTCGATGATACAGTCGCGGCGAATGCCTTGCGCCCGGCGCTTTTCGACTCTGGCTCGTGCTTCTGTCCATGCAGCTTCTGTCAATTTTCACTTGCCTTCAAAGCTCACCGGAATCCATTTCAAGAATGGGGACATCTCCACTGGTGGGCTGGCCCCGGGCTCCATGACGGTGGATAAGTGATGATTCATGTATCAATACTTCCTGATGCTTTCACAGATTACACTTACCATTTCCACGACATCGTAAACAGTCTAATAAAGCATGAGCGTGCTGAGACGAGGAAAGCGTGGGAACTCAGACCTTGCATGGCACCAAAAGCTCTCATGCGTGGGAGCACCCTGACCACAGAGAATGCTACTCCCAGAAGACGTTGTGTATCGTCGAACCAGCTTACTGAAGCTTTTAGGATACTCCAATAAGCTTTCCATGAAGACTGTCACCCTGTTTTCGAGAGACGGGGGTCAGGAACTCTGTGTGCCGGGCAAACACGAGCGGACTCACTCTGCTACTTGTACCTTCAAATGCTTCTCGTCCAGCATTTTCGGCGAAAAGTTGTGAGCAACAACCTTCCACTTCTCCCTCCACTCGGCGGTTGCAGGAGACAAGGAGAGCAGGCCGCCCCCGCTGAGCAAGTGACCCGTGTATATTTCTGGACGATCGGAATAGATCTTACTCTTCTTGTCTAGGAGATCGTGAACAGCCTTTCGATCGCAGAGAACGACCATGTTGGCCGGTCCCCAGCTTGAGCGAGAACACCGAGCCGTATTCTTTGGCCCATTCTCGAAACCTACCCTCTTATCAGACAGAGCCATGGGATTCGCAGATGCCATGAAACCGGCCAGGGAGAGAAGGACCTCCTGCATGAACATCCCGGTCCGAGGGATCATGTGGACGTTGCGCAAGATGGGGATGGTTGGTGGTCCAGGGCCCATACGCGGATCTCGCTTTCCAATCTGGAGGATTCGATAGACGGCTAACACGGCCAGGGAGCAAAGCAGCCCTGCTACGGCCGGGCTCGGGCTCGTGATGGTCATCATCGCTGCTGCGTCTCGTATACGAGCCCGTCTTTGTGCCTGAATTGACTGAATTGAGAAATAAAGTGGTGTTTGAGCACCAATGGCACAGCAAAATCGATTTCTTGGACTGTTAATAAGATCAAACAGACAATATATCAATACATTTGAGAAACGGTCAAATTTGCGAGCACAATTATATCAGATCCGGACGACCGATCTGAACATAATTCCTACCTACTATATCCCAGCGAGGAGCCCAAGAGTTCAACCCAAGTGGATCTCGGGCCTCTTGACTCGATTCTCCCGTTTTCTCCTCGCTTTATATGGCTCCAAAATGTCGAATCCATGCTGAGATACGCCTTGGTCTCAGCTGTTTCGGAACTTAGTCGACATGTCTAACACCTACATGAACAGCACTTTACGGTTTCGAGTCGGTGTCGGGGTTCGGACTCGCGGGATCCGAACTCGCAAGGTCCGGAGATTTTGCCTCAGTCAGTCCTTGAATGAATCCGTTTCCATTCTTCACAGGAACCCCTTCGCAAGTGCGTCAACAGTAGGTCAGACCGAATTATCATAACATTGCCAGTGGCGCTTTGAGCAATGCGTCTCGTACGGCGCGCATCTCGACAGCAACAAAATACCAGTTATGCTGCCCTAACAAGCATTGTCGACTCTCCAGGGATAAATTGTTCTGGCAGGAACCCTGTCTCGCACATTTGTTGCGTTCATATTTGCCTATTCCACGCCCACAGAGTCTCGATGGCCTGACAATATCAGAACAAACCCTTCATTCTGTACAAACACGCGATTATGGTACACGCATTCTATCCCCAAGACGCTGCATTGAGCAAGTCAACATACCAAAGATTCCACTGCAGTTTAGAAAACGTTCACTCGCGGTCTACCGCCGTCTCATACCTGGCTCTTATACCCCTCTGACCCTTCCGGAGATCTACCCTGTGTAAGACTCGGTTGCCGCCGGATCCTTGAACACAAACACAATCCACACACTCAACAACAGCCACACACACAACAAATAACGACGAACACAGCAGTCCAGCGGTGCCAA